ACAGATGATACCTGGCTTGTAGGTGTTATATAGGAACATAACTCATTTGAATTTGGCGCCAAAAATTGGTCCGTCCAATCAGAAACAGAATCACATTTAAAACTTAAAATATGTTCAAAACTTAGTCAGTATATAATTTATAGTAATATAACTTGTTTCTAATGATTAGAAATCAAAAACGAGGGTTGGAAAGTATAATTTAGAACATTTTAAAACAATCACGTGACATACGGCACTTCCGCATTTCGGAAGTTTTCGCCGCAATGCCTTATGGGAAATGTAGTTAAAAGTTAGCCGCGACCGGCGGCCGCATACAGAAATAAAAAAAAACGATAATCATACATAACCTAAAGAGATTTAGTGCCTTGGAGGCATTTTCATTGTAGAGCATAGATTTTAAGTTATAAATAAAACAGGTAGGCAGGGGGGCACATAACTAATACATTACTTCCTCAAAATGGAGGTTTTTGCCCAAGTGCAACCTGGGAAATGTAGTTATCTTTAAAAATAAATAAATAAAAAATGAAGTATGGAAGTTTCACCATTGCAAATTTAAATAAAGATATACAGAATAAGAACTTAATTTGTAAAATACTGGCAACATTAATACAATAAAAATAGATGTATAAAAAGGGATTGTATACATAAAAGGAATATATAAGCCATTCATATTATAGACAGCAATAAATAATACAAATATTATTTAACATAAAAGTCATAAAAAATTGTGTAGATCAAAGTCAGCATTAAGACCATGGGGTATAAGAGTCTGAAGTTTATACACCCATTCCATCTCGGTTTTTCCAAGCAGTTTTTTTATGTCACCTCCACGCCAAGAGGTAAAGCATTTTTTTATACCCATGCATTTTAATAGGCGTGGGTCCTTATTGTGCATAATAAAATGTTTGGATACTGTATGATTTAAGTATCCATTTTTAATATTTCTGCAATGTTCGCTTAGCCTTATCTTTAAGCACCTTGTGGTCATCCCCACATATTGGAGGCCACATGGGCACTCAAGCAGATAAATAACATTTTTCGTATTGCAGCATATAAAATCATAAATATTGTACACTTTTTTTGTCTGATTAGACATAAAACTTGAGACTTTTGATGAAATAAAATGATCAGTGGTTTTGCATACAATACATTGTTTACATCTATAAAAACCCTTTGTCTGGGGAAAAAAAGACAGATTTTTGGGAGGAGATTTTTTAGTAAAATTAGTAGTTAGAATAGATTTGAAATTGGGTGCTCCTCTAAAAACAATATTTGGATGAACAGGTATAATAGAGCTAAGTATCTCATCATGTTTGAGTATATGCCAGTGTTTTCTTATTATTCGTTTAACATCTTTACTTTTATTATTAAAATTAAAAATAACTGGGAGTACTATTGGTTCTTTGTTTTTGTATGTTAAAAGTTCTTTTCGTTCCTTTTGTTTGACAGTATTTATAGTAGTGTTCAATTCTGATTCTGAATATTTTTTTTCCATGAATTTATTTTTTAAAAAATCCGCTTGTTCATTAAAATCTGTAAGTTCTGAGCAATTTCTCCGGAGACGTAAAAACTGGCTTTTTGGAGCACTTTCAAGCCAGGGCTTATAATGGCAACTGGAACTGTCTATAGCCGTATTTACACATACTTTTTTTAAAAATGTTTTTGTTTGGACTTGTCCATTGTTGATAAAAATATTAAGATCTAGAAAATTTATGGATTCTTTACTAAATTCGTGTGTAAGAATAATGCCCCTATTATTGGTATTTAAATGATTAATAAAATCAATAAGATGGTTCTCTTGTCCATCCCAAATACAAAAGAGGTCATCTATGTATCGAAAATAAGAGACTAGGTTTGCCCGCCATTGGTGATTACCCCAGATGGCTTCAGATTCCCAGTTAGCCATAAACAAATTTGCATAACTGGGGGCAAACCTAGTCCCCATAGCAGTACCCCTTTTTTGCAAGTAAAATGAATCTAAAAACCAGAAATAATTGTTTTTTAAAATAATATTTATACCTTCTATTATAAAATCTATTTGGATATCGGGAATCCTAGCTTCATGAATTAAAATTTCTTTTATAGCTTGACAGCCAATGTCATGAGGAATAATAGTATAAAGAGACTGTACGTCGCATGTGACTAGTATAAAACTATTTTTCCAAGTAAAATCATTTAAAAATTTTAAAAGTGACATAGAGTCTTTTAGATAGGATTTCATGAGTTTGACCGAAGGCTGAAGAAGGGTATCAATATATTGGGAAAGGTTACATAAAAGAGAACCTATCCCAGAAACAATAGGTCTACCTGGGGGGTGTTGCTCATTTTTATGAATTTTGGGGAGAAAGTAGATGACAGGAGTAATCGGGAATTTTTTGTTTAAAAAATTAAATTCATGTTTGTTTAAAATATTTAGATTAAGACCTTTGTTTAAAAAATTAAGTAAAATAGTTTGTATATTTTTAGTAGGGTC